ATAATTTTTGGTATAGTAGTTGTGACTTATTCACACTATATACATTTGGCTTCCGCAACATTTTGATAATATTACCTTTACTCGTTTATGTGCTTTAGGAAGACTTCTTTGCTGTTGTGGATTGGGCAGGAAAGATTGATCCTATGTGCTGCATATCAATGCATGGAATCACAGAACGTTATATTCCTGGTCAGAAGGCTGATGCTGCAGGATTTGTGCGCATCTTGCTTGATGACTTGGAATCAAGAATTTCAATGCAGTTCAGCCGTGTGAGTTACTGTATCCCTCGTAGCTATGTCTTGCAGCTCATACGGGATAAAATTTTCTCAGTTTTTTCAACATTTCTGCAGTTTGTTGATGAAACATGTCATCAAATTGAAAGAAATGAGCGAAATGTTCGGCAGATGGGAGTCTTATCATTTATACCGAGGTAAACTGAGTTTCATGTTATGCTTTTGTAAACTTGCATAATTCTTATGATTTGATTTACTGTCAAATGCATAGTTAAATGGCTCAAATTGGTAATAGAGTTAAGTTAGTTCGAGATTGTTAAATACTAACTTGAGCCACTGCACTAAGAGCTTTTTCCTTTTATCTCTTCTCCCATCTCGAGTGTGATCTGATTAGGTGTAACAGGTTTAGACATGCTAGTATGCTACAGTATAAGCCCTGCTCTACTTTATTGTGGGTTGTCCTCACTATGAATGGTATATGTTGGTTTCTTTATTGAGGATATATTTTCTTTCCCCCTAGTATGGAAGGAAAAACAGATTTATTTTCTACAGCTTATTACTTTAATTGTTATTTATGAGTGATACACCTCTTTTACATAAAGAACTAATATTTCCTCCAAATTTGAAACTGAAAGTCTGCCCATCAATTTTTTGTTTCTGTAATTTTGCCGTTGATTTCTTTTTGTCAAATCGGAGTTAGAATATACCATTTTATATTTGATGTTTCGCAATTTGATAGTGCCTGAAATTTCCGTTAGTATTCATGAAGTGTGGGTTTTCTTCCTTATCTCAGTTACCTCTTTGTTATTGTTGATTAGCTTCATCATACCTTTATGCGGTGAGCTTATTGTATGTCTGAGCCTCCTAAAAATCCCTTCAACGATTCTTTTAATAACCTTATTTATAACTATAGGCTGTAAGCCTTTCTGTAATTCTACCTTGAAATCGATTTAGTATTTATTTTTCCTCAGAATGCTCTTAGTTGATCATTTTGGCTTAAATTATCAATCATTTCATTGGGTATGCAATTCTTCATGTAGATTTGCTACTCTTGCAACCCGTATGGAGCAGTACATTCAAGGACAATCCAGGGATTTGGTTGACCAGGCATATACGAAGTTTGTGAGTGTGCTTTTCTTGCATTTGCTTTCTTATGCATGCTGTGAGATTAACAGTTGAAACTATTAGAATGACGTAAGATACGTAGCTGTTTGGCTTGTATTACCCTTTATTTCTGATGTGAGTACTGTGATAGGTAATCAGCATGATCTTTTACCATTTTGATATCCAATATTAGAAATAAAAGTAAGCTGAAGTGTGAATTAGGAAATACTTGCAGAACCCTTATTCTTTCATGGTGCAGTGAGTTTAGAATTTCTGAATTTGTGGTGGTCAGTTATATTTGTTCCCTTATGTTTGTTGTATCTTGTGGCGCGACTGTTTTAAACATTATTTGGCAGGTAACTATAATGTTTGTTACTTTGGACAAAATTGCTCAAACAGACCTGAAATATCAAGACATCATGCTTTTAGAAAACTATGCAGCATTTCAGAATAGGTATTGTTCACCTTCGGATTCAGAAGTTTATTACATATTGTATTCCACAAAATCGCTTTTAGTGCTGAATGAAACAGTTTGCAGTCTGTATGACCTGGCTAATGTTGTGCCCACCTTAGCAAAATTCTATCACCAAGCAAGTGAATCTTATGAACAAGCTTGCACACGCCACATCAACATGATTATTTACTATGTAAGTTGTCTTTTTCATGATTGTGTAATTTTTCTTTACTCTGCTTGTACTCTCCTATTACTTTATTTATCTTTGATGAGATACCTTAGACCTGTGCTTTCTCCACAGCAATTTGAGCGACTTTTTCAATTTGCTCGAAGAATTGAGGATTTAATGTACACAATTACACCGGAAGAGGTTAGTTCCTTTTTCTTTTTCTCAACTGGCTATTGATATTTGCCGACTGTCCTTCACCCCCCGAGTATCTCAATTTTCCTCTTTATCAAGGACGGTGACTTGGTAATGCTCTGATACCAGATAACTGCTAATTTGTTAGTATATGATCTCAAATTTAAGGAGAGTTTTGTAATCTTAAATCTTTATTTGATTAATATCACTTCATGTTGAACTTCTCCGTCCAGCAACTGAAAGAAGATATAATCAAAACAAAATGCTAGATTGAAATATTAATTTTTGTTTGGACATTTCAACCTTTGTGATGAGTTGCACGTGAGAAATGATGCAAGCACGTAGTCAGTTTAAGGTTTCATATCTCTTCTTTTTTTTTTTCCGGATCTTTTCCTCTCTTTTCCTATTCGGTGGGAGGAGAGGTTAACCCATGTAGTCCAATTTTGAATGAACTGTGATCATGTAGTTATCTTTTACTAAAATTGAAGCTGAAAGCAACTAATGTCTCACAAAAATCTTGCGGGGTTGAATTTGGTATATAAAACAACTCCTGTCCTGCTATTATCTCTATTACATATGCTTAAATTAAAAATAAATAAAAAAACTGAGATAAAATTAGATTGGAATGATTGACTGATCTTAATTGGCAACTCTAGTATAGTCTATCGTTATTTATCAAGGAAAGAATAATGGGTATAGCCTATCGTTTGATTGATGTGAAAGTTTAGTTCAAGCACAGAAAGAATAAATGATTAAGGTATATATAAGTGCCTTATGGCACCACGTAGAATACTTCAGTATATCTTATAGAAGATATCTGATGTCAAGCTACACAAAGGTCAGTCGAACGTTCCTGTCAGACTTGTTCCTCGTTTATGGTTTGACTTCTGCTGTAGCCTGTCTAAGAGTGCATAAAGGTTGAAATAATGACAAATAAACAGCGTTTATGATTTTGCCATCATTTTAGTACCTTTGTCAGAACCAGAGGCTCGATGTTGCATCCCTTTTGCTTTAACTTAATGTTGCAATTACTGAAAGTGGAATCAGAAATTTCTTTCCTTAGTTGGACAGTGAACTTTTAGCTTGAACCCAACTGACTATGAGTTAGCATTTTGTTTTCCTCATTCATATCTAGGTGTTAAATGCTCTTTCTGCAAACAAGCAATAAAAGTTACGTTTTGTTTTATCTCCCTTTGCTTTGAGGAAGAAGGATTAAAATCCACAATTTGAACTTGCTTCCCGTTTCAATCTGTCTTTGGATGAGTATACCATCTTGTTTACGGCTTCTCCGACTGTGACGGTTATCTTCTGCTAAGTGATCAATGCCATTTTTATTAGATTCCATTCCAGATCGGATTGTCAAAAACGGATCTTAGGAAGGTGGTAAAGTACAGTTTATCTGGGGTAAGTCAATCAATTGCCTCAATTTATCTGCTAGATTAGGGTATCTTTCTAAAATATTAAATTTTGCTTCTACAGGTGGATAAGTCCATCACTGCAATGTACAAGAGATTGCAGAAGAACTTAACCTCAGAGGAGTTGTTGCCTTCTCTATGGGATAAATGCAAGGTATATCTAGCAGACTGGTATTGAATTAGTCACTTTGCAAATTCAATGAGCAGCTATACCTCTATCTATTTGGAGTACTTTATGTGTCTCGTGCGGCAAAAGCTGGTTGTGTTAGCTAATGTCTTCGTCTGATGTTTCGGATCACATTTTTCCATAACTGAAAATCTTTCCTTCCTCAATTCGATAATGGGGTGATATTTAAGTTATTTGTATATTTCATCTACTTTTTCCCCTTAGTTGATTTTCTGATCAAATCTTCCAACAACATTCATAAACTTGCAGAAAGAGTTCTTGGACAAGTATGAGAGTTTCGTCCAACTTATAAATAAGGTTTACCCCACCGAGACCATCCCTTCCATCTCAGAAATGCGCGGGCTTTTGGCATCGATGTAAAGCAGCTCCAGTTTTGATTCTTTTTCTTCTGGTGGGAGGACAGAGAGTTGTACAGTTGTCTTTGTGGTTAATATTCATTTTATTCTTTTACATCATAAATTGATTAATTCTAAGACTCACATTTATCAGATGAAAACAGGCTGGGTGGAGTATCTGCTTTATCATTCTTTGATTTGTTATATTTTCTCGTGGTACGAGGTAGTTTTAGTTTCAAGCTTGATTCCCACTTTAAAGGAAGAAAAGTTTCACTCTATTAAGTAATAAGTTAGTATTCATATTGCACTGGATTCTAAAGCTTCATGATCTTCAATATTAAGGCCTTGAAACCCCACCCCACCCCCCTCTTATCTTCCCCTCCATCTCTCCCAAAACGTAATATTTTGGAGTGAGGTTTGTGGTGCGTAAAGATAAGGAGTATGTTGCGGAAGCCAAATGTATATAGTGTGAATAAGTCATAACTACTATACCAAAAATTATGACAGCCACCAAATAATAAATAAGACAATAAAGCAACAATAAAAGGAACATCAGAATTTACGAGGTTCGGCTAATTTTGCCTACTCCTCGGACACAACCAATATTTTATTCCACTCCAAAAATACAAGTGAAATAATACTAAAGAGAGAAGATACAAATGCCTTAAGAAGATAAGAAGGCAAATGAGAGATGTGTTTAAATCCTAAATATTAGGCCTCCTTTTATAGGGAAAAATCCCAACCAATTTGGTCTTCCACCGATGTGGGAGTTTTGGCATTCAACAAATCTCCACCTTGGCAAAATTCCACATCTTCAATTTTCTCTCAATAACAAATTTTGATTATGTCTTCATCTTCAATATTCAGTGTTCAACAATGTTGATCAAATCCAAACAATGTTGAAACTTGATCGCAGTCACCACCTTTGTCAGCATATCAGCACGATTCTCTATAGTAGGAATTTTCTTTACCGTGACTCCACCTTCTTCTATGATTTCTCGTACGAAATGATATCGAACATTAATGTGCTTCATCCTTGCATGATAAACTTGGTTCTTCGCTAATTGAATAGCACTTTGACTATCACAAAAAATTGTGATACTTTTTTATTCAACACCAAGCTCTTTTAGCAACCCCTGAAGCTAAGTTGCCTCTTTCACAGCCTCTGTAATAGCCATGTACTCTGCCTCTGTTGTAGACAAAGCAACTGTTGACTGCAAAGTAGACTTCCAACTAACTGGTGCTTTTGCAAAAGTAAACACATAACCAGTAGTTGATCTTCGTTTGTCCAAATCACCGGCAAAATCTGAATAACAATATCCAACTACAGACTGATTGCATTTCTGCTCAAAAACTAACCCAACATCTACAGTATTATGAA